TTTTTTTCCTATATCTGTTGATATTTTAGGTAATTATTCTATTGATGTATAAATTATAATTGTTGCACAAAATTTTTTTATTTATTTTTCTTTCCAAAATCTCACCTGAGATCTCAGATGAGAATTTGGCATGAGATCTCAGGTGAGAAATCACGTGAGAAATAAGATGAGATCTCAGGTGAGATTTGTCAGGAGGGAACGCTGCTCGATTGTGTAGATGCACCTTCGTTTTTTGACAGGCGGTGCACTGTTGGGCCCAGCGAGTGGAGTCCTTTCTCATTGCAGGCCAGTAGAACTTACTGGTAATGGCTTTACTGGTGGCTCTGACGCTGGGTGGGAGAGGTTGTGGACAACCTCGAAAGCTGCGCGACGAAGTGCCACTGGGATATATGGCCTGAGGTGATCCAGGGAGACATCGACGTATAGGTTATGCTCCTTGATGGTCACACGTTGCAGAGCGAAGTTTGGATCCCGAAGGAGGTGAGTCAGCTCCTCGTCTGAAGCTTGGGCAGCTAAAATGGATGCTGGATCCAGGCGAGATGGCATCGAGATGGTCTCGACCCTTGAAAGGGCGTCTGCCACCACATTTTCCTCCCCCTTGATGTGCTGCAGGTTGGTGCAGAACTGCAGAATATAGTCCAAGTGGCGAAGCTGTCTCGGGGAAGCTTTGTCTGAGGGCTGGAGAGCTGCGTAGGTCAGAGGCCTCTGATCGGTGAAGGTGGTGAAAGATCTGCCTTCGAGAAATCTCTGGAAGTGCTGTATAGCGCGGTAGATAGCCAGCAGCTTCCTGTCGTACGTGCTATAGCGTTGTTCGGTGGATGACAGCTTTTGTGAAAAGAAGCCCAAGGGTGACCAGACACCTTTGGAGTGCTCCTGCTCCAGAGTGGCTCCGATCGCGTGGCTGGACGCGTCAGACTTAAGAGCCAGAGGTGCATCTGGGTGCAGGAAAGAGATCGTCACTGCAGATGACAGCGCTAGCTTGGATTGAGCGAAAGCAGTGTCTGCTTCCGGCGACCAATTCAGTTTGGCTTTTTTGCTCTTCTCCGGAAAGCCTTTGAGAAGCTCATTGAGTGGTGCGAGAACGGCGGCTGCTCTAGGGAGGCATCGGCGGTAGTAGTTGAGCATGCCGAGGTACCTTCGCAGCTGTGAGGCCATCTCTGGCTTTGGAAAATCCGAAATTGCCTTAATCTTGGCCAGTGGAGGTTTGAAACCAGCCTCAGACACAAGGTAACCTAAAAAATTTACCTGTGTCTGACCTAGGACGCACTTTTCTCGGTGGATGCGAAGCTTGGCGCTGCGTAGGACGTTGAAGAGCTTCTTCGGGTGCCTGATATGCGTCTCGTGGTCTGGTGAGTTGACGATAAAATCGTCTAAGTGAGCCCGGACGAAAGGCAGATCCCTTAGCAGATGGTCCACCGTGTGCTGGAGTGACTGCGCTGCGTTGCGTTGGCCTAAAGACGATCTGGTGAATTCGAAGAGACCAAAAGGAGTTGTTATAGCCGTCTTCAGAGCGTCCGCCTCTGCGATGGGGATCTGATAGAAAGCTTTGCGTAGGTCTATTACGGAGAAGACTGAGCCTTTTGCCTCCTGGAGGATGTCCTCCACAATAGGCAGAGGGTAGCGGTCTTGCTGGGTGATGGCGTTGAGACGACGGTAGTCCCCTGTCACGCGCCAACCTCCGTCCGGCTTCGGCACCAAGTGCAGCGGGCTAGCCCACTGGCTGGAAGAGGGGCGGACAATCCCCTGCGCGAGGAGAAGACCAATCTCCTTCTTCGCTACTTTCAAGCGCTGACCGATTAGTCGTCTTGGACGCTCAAACACCGGAGGGCCGGTGGTCACGATGCTGTGCTTGACAGGCAGGTCTGGCAGAGAGGCAGTGGTGCTCTCCGTGGCAGCGATGTCCATGAATGTACGAAGCAGGCTATCGTATGCTTGGCTGAATGGTCTTGGTGTTGACAGACTGAGCACAGCTGAGATGCTGTGTAGTTTGGCCAGGAACAGGGTGCCAGCAGCGCTGAGCTTGGTGACTGAGTCGATGAGCTTCTTGTTCTTAATGTCTACTAAGAGCCCAGTGTCACTCAGCAGGTCTGCGCCGATGATTGGAGTGGGCACCTCTGCTATGATGAAAGGCCATTTAAAGACTCTGCGAAGGCCCAAGTCCAATGCCATGTTGTGCGTCCCGTAAGTCTTTATGGGAAAGAGGTTAGCCGCATAGAGAGTGAGTCTTCCTGGAGGTCGAGGCTTCCTGAAAATTGACTTGGGGATTATCGAGACCTCAGAACCTGAGTCGGTGAGGAACGTAAGGCGCGAGTTACTATCCATTATGTGAAGGCGTTTTCCACTAAGTTGAGTTTGTCCCACGTCTGTCGCCTGAACCAAAGGGAGAGAGGTTAGTTTCCCTGACTCAGGGAAAAAGAGCAGTGGGAGGTGTGCAGTGTCTTGCCTTGGCACCAAACTCCCGATGGAACCAACAAAGACCTTCGCCTGGGCCAGCTCGTGTATTGGATCTGCTTCGAGATCTGCCTCTCCTTTGACCACCCCTCGCAGGTTGGTTGTTGAGCTGCAGGCTGAGCTGGCTGACCTGCGCTGAGAGGGCCTCTACCCGTTGGGCCAGCTGACTGTCTGCTGTGGACACTGAAGTCAGGCTTGAGTCATTGAGGGCTGGGGTCGAAGGGGGCGGTCAAGTAGTGCTTGAGACTGCGAACACTCCTGGGTTGGTTTCAATCAGGTCGTCTGCCGTAGAGCCCAACTCCTCCAATGAAGTGGTTTTAATGATCTTTAGAATGCGAGTGACCTATGGAGGGAGCAGGTGAAGCCACTTTACCCTGAGCACCTCCTCTGTGACTTTGTTGTCAGACAGGGATCGCATGGAGCGAAGAAGCTGCAACGGCCTCTTGTCACCCAACCCCAACTTATTGAACAGCTGATCCAGCCTCTTGTCCTGAGAGTCTGTCAGGCGTGACAGAATGGCCTCTTTTAGGACTCCGTAGAGGTTTTCAGTTGGTGGATGTTTCAGCACATCCAGGAGCTCGTTCACCGTTGCTGCCTCGAGGGAGGCCACGACCAAGTCGTACTTGGCCCTGTCATCAGATATGCCACTGACGTTGAACTTGGCCTCCGCTGACAGAAACCATGCCTTTGGGTTGCTGGCCCAGAAGCGAGGTAATGAGCAGGGTGCTCTGCCTACCGGTTGTTGCTGTTGTTGTTGTTGTTGTTGTTGTTGTTGTTAGGTGGCATCTTCCCCAGCCATATCGGTGTCAGCCAGTTCCTGCAGCTGATGGAGGAGAAGTTGTTGCTCTCGCGATTCTTCGCGACGACGAGCACGCTCCTCGCGGTCCTTTGCCTGTCTGTCGGCCGTGGAGGGAATATCCTGGCTGCTACTGTCGGAAGAGTTACCCTCCAGTGTCGAGTGCCCGTCCAGTGCCGGAGATACAGGCGAATGGACGCCGATTGTCGTGTTAGCGGGCTGTCTGCTAGGCAAAAAGCCAAGCCACGCGCGGCACAGTCAGTTTGTTTGTTTTTGTTAGGTCTAATGTTTACTCACTCGCATCGTCGTGTATAGATGTAAAAGGTCTATACGCAAAGGAAGTATAGGTTATACTGCGGCCAGGGGGAAAGAGAGAGAGACAGAGCGTTTGGCGGGATCGGCGCCTCGAAGTTCTCGGAAGAGAGAAGGGAAAGAAAATAAAAACGAAAACGCCTGTCTGGCTCGTCTCAGAGGCTGTTTTTTCCTTTTTTTTTTGCTCGCACGGCCGGCGCAAGAGCAACTGCTCGCACAGGTTTTGGCGAGGGAGATGCGGCGCGTGTTTTTTTGATGTACGGCACTTCGGGTCGAGTGAAGGAAAAAACAATGGCGGTTCGCCGTTTCACTTACGACAGATCACGTCGGGGTCACCAATTTGGGAACCGCTGGGTATGCTCGTGCTTACCCGAGGATAGGAGGGTAGCACGGGGTGCAAGAAGCTCGACCACACTTCGCTCTGTTAAACGTAAGGGTTTATTTATTTATTAAGTACAGAAATGAGTGTGTTGCTCGATCAAGCCAAAACCGGACTGACTTGCTGGTTGAGGAGTTGCCAGCTTAACTAGTGGCATATCTATAGAGATATTATAGATGGGGTAGGCAAGCCACCGATTCTTTTATAAGTGGCAGCGTTGACACGATAAAAAGAGATGCAATATTGAGCTACCTTTCTATCTCTCTCTGTGCTCGCTGCTGATTAGCTACAGATGTTTTACGTATATGTGGGCATAGGCAATCAGTAGCGACCACAGAAAGAGATAGAAAGGTGGCTCGATGTTGCATCTCTTTTTAACTTGTCAACGCTTGCACTTCCAGGCTTGCCTACTTTATCTCTAATATCTCTACGGGCATATCCCGAACCTCGATTAGCCGTTCGGTTGCGCCATCTGATGAGTACTGAAGATGTCGCGCGGAACGAGAGTCGTCGAGAGATCGGAGAGATTGGTTGCGCTTGCTCGTCTGTGAAGTCGGAGCCGCCACAGCTATATATACGATCTAGGTAAAAAGTTCCAATATTGTATCCACCTAACCCAACGCTGTTTACTGCTGGCGGGATTGCGGATCATTTCAGCAGTAAATCGACAGTAGCGTCCCCAACCACGCAACGTTGTCACGTCTTACATATGTAACTGCTGGCGGCGATTGCTGATTACACCCGTGCACAGTGTGCCTGCGCATTTGCTTGGGATTTTCACTGCGTAGGCCTTTAGACCGCTTAATTACTACTAGCGGCATAGACTTATAAGAAATAGACTGCTCGTTTTTGTATTCAGTGCTTAAGCACAAGTAAAAAGAGACACAACATCGAACGCGGGTATCTGTCTCTCTTGCATGTTGCTAACGGCGGGGAGGCTTCATTAGCTGTAGACTTAGTTTATTTACCCCCACCATTAGCAACGAGTGAGAGAGAGAAATACACACGTTCGATGTTGTTTCTCTTTCTACTCGTGCTTTAGCGCCGTTCATAAGAACGAGCAGTCTATTTCTCATATGTCTACGACTAGTGGAGGATCATATATATACATATTCATTTATTTTATTAATTAAGTAGAACTTATTTTAGAATCTGACAATACTCCTATTAAAATATCGTGGTCATAAAACAGTGGTATAAAATAAGCGTTTTGCAAATTTTCGTGGACATCATTTGGTGGTGGTTACATGTATTTTCGTCTGGCTTGATGCGAGTAAAAAATGTATGTTGAAATGACTGGACGTCCAACAAATCAACAGTCTCAGCAGCAGCCTAGCCAGCAGAAGCTAGCAGAGAAACTGATGATATTGAACGATCGAGGTCATGGAATGCTCACGCGTATTTATAATATCAAGAAGGCTTGTGGAGATGCCAAGTCAAAGCCGGGTTTTCTTAGTGACAAGAGTCTTGAGTCCTCTATCAAGACGATTGTACGCAAGTTCCCAAATATAGACGTCAAGGGACTTACAAGTATTAGTAATTTGCGCAACGAGATTATAAAATCGCTATCGCTTTATTATTATACATTTGTTGACCTGCTTGATTTCCGCGATAACGTGTGTGAGCTGCTGACGAGCATGGATGCGGTGGGCGTCCATCTCGATATTGCAGTGAATTTTGAACTGACCAAACATTATCTTGATCTGGTGTCGAATTACGTTAGTTTGATGGTACTGTTGTCTCGAGTTGAAGACCGCAAGGCTGTGCTAGGGCTCTTTAACGCTGCCCATGAGCTTGTTCACGGCCAGTCAGATCCGAGCTTTCCCCGACTTGGCCAACTGATAGTCGAATACGATGTGCCACTACGTCGACTTGCTGAGGAGTTTGTACCTCATGGTAGACTTCTAAGGGCAGGCCTGCTCTCGCTCTGGGCTATCTACCCAGGTCGCAATGCTTCAGCTGATACCTGGAGGACAGACCAACGATTAAGCCTAGTTGGCAGCCCAAGTCAATTGCTGAAGGCTGCTGTAACTGACACTATGTCTTGTGAGTGCCTCAGTATAGAGCGCCTTGAACAGTGGATAATATTTGGGTTTTCGCTGTGTCATGGATTACTTACCCAAGATCAACCAAGTAAACTCTGGACAAGTGCGCTTGAATCTCGCTGGGTGCTCGCTCTCTTCCGTGATGAGTGCATTTACATTCACCACTACTTGCAAACTTTTTTTGAGGGTATCAAGGGTTGTGGCAAACGTGTTTCTGAGCTGAAAGAGTGTTACACCCAAGCTTTACATAAGGCTAGCTACAAGCACCGTGAACGCCGGAAATTTCTAAGAACAGCACTTAAAGAGTTGGGCCTTATACTCACTGATCAGCCAGGTCTACTTGGGCCCAAAGTTCTTCTTGTCCTTATGGGCCTTAGCCATGCTCGTGACGAAATTTTCTGGTTGCTTAGGCATGCTGATAATCCCCCTGTGCAGGGCAAAGCTAAGGGGCGTGGTGGTGAAGACCTTGTAGATAGGCAGCTGCCTGAGTTACTCTTCCATTGTGAGGAACTAAGGGCTCTTGTCAAAAAATATTCTCAAGTAAGCTCTATCTATTTATGCTTAATCTTTTACCAGTGCTATAAGAACACTTGTTAATTTTTATCAAGTAATCAATATATTATTTAATTCTGTTATGCCTTATACAATACAAAACTACTACACCTCAGTCAAAAATTATAAGCTATTATTTTAACTATAAATTATAGCTGTATTTAGAACAATAAACGGAAAAAAATATTATCAGTAACATTTTTTTGTTTCTTCGTTTATTGTTTCAAAATACTTAAACCCCCCACTTTTAGTGCTATTATACGGATAATATCATCTTATATGGCTCATTTACCTTACAAAAAAAAAAGATTATTCAACAAATTCTGTTAATTAAAATTTGCTAGAAATTGATAGCTGTAAACAGCTACTTTTGATAGTTGTTATTTGTACATGATTATAGCTACTTTGTAGTCAATTATAGCTATTGCTGTAGCTGATTATAGCTGTAAATACAGCTATAATTTATAGTTAAAATAATAGTTGATAATTTTTGAATGAGACATGTTAAGGAGTATATGACCTAATTGTCAAGCCCTGTCCATACTTTCAAATGTCTGAGTTAAATTTATATAATTGAAGTTATTTTACAGCATTTATTTGAAGCATTCCACGTCAAGTGAAACGGTCAAAAATAGTTTAGGCCAAAATCTATGGGAATCGATAGTCTATTGTGAGAAATCATTACTCCTAATTTTTTCAGAATTTTTTACCGACACCAAAGCCGTCAGTGACAATCACAAATTTGAAATATTTTCTAAGACCCAATTCTTTTCCAATTATTTTGCTAAGAAAAAAAAATTAAAAAAAAAANGCCCTCTCGGCTTCCTTTCGTTCTCCGTGACGTTGAATAGGAGCGGCAGTTATTTAATAGAGACGCCAGTTGGCACCCCGAGTCATTGGGTGATAGGCACTTGTGTTATTAATATTACAATTTTTAATTTCCGCGTGTCTTTGGCAATGCCCCTTTACTGCTGTGCTGTCTGCTTGACGGAACATTCTCCCTAGATCGTATAGCTATTTTAAAACCGCTGGGTATGCTCGTGCTTACCCGAGGATAGGAGGGTAGCACGGGGTGCAAGAAGCTCTACCATACTTGGCTCTGTTAAACGTAAGGGTTTATTTATTTATTAAGTACAGAAATGAGTGTGTTGCTCGCGCAAGCCAGAACCGGACTGACTTGCTGGTCGAGGAGTTGCCAGCTTAACTAACGGCATATCCCAAGCCTCGATTAGCTGTTCGGTGGCGCCATCTGATGAGTACTGAAGATGTCATGGGGAACGAGAGATTGCTTGCGCTTGCTCGATGCTCGGCTGTGAAGTCGGAGCCGCCACAGTAGCTAGCCCCTCTCTAGTGCCGTTTGCCCTAGGCAAATGGAACGAGAGCCGGCTGAGCATGTTGTTGAGCTTACTGATTTTTGTAGGTGTCCTTCGCAGACGGTTGGCAGGCCAGAAGAGTCTGGTTGGTGTTTGAGGCCTGCGACGGGAAGCGGAAGAGTGCTTGGTCCTTCAAAGCCAGTTGGATTGTCGCTGGAGGCAACGAAGGATGCTTTAAGGTCTTGTGAGTCGTCGAAGGGTGCTGTGAAGCTGATGGGCCCTTTAAAGCCTGTTGCCTTAATCCAGAAGACAGCGAAGGAAGCTGAACAGACTTTTGAGTCTGTGAAAGCTGCTCTGGTGGACAATCCAGGTACGCTGGCTTTAGGGAGTCAGTGGAGATGCTGGTTGGGGTGCCCCTGATGTTCACAATGTAGACCTTGTCGCTCAGGCGTTGAACAACTCTGAAAGGGCCTGAGTAGGAAGGCGTCAGAGTGCGTCTGACTGTGTCGACTCTCCTAATATAAAGACATGGGTGCAGGTGTTGAGGTCCTTGTAGAAAAACGGCATGACTTCTGCTGCGTGGCGAGAGGCAGACACAGGTTTGATAGCCTCGGTCAGGCTGCGTAGGCCTTGGACAAAGGTGACGGGCCCTGCCAACGGGTTGCTGGTGGTGACGAAGAATTCACCTGGAATCCTGAGCTCTGTGCCCTACAGCATCTCAGCTGGAGACGCCTGTAGGTCCTCCTTGAAGGCTGTTCGAAGGCCCAAGAGGACGAGTGGCAGTGCTGTTGGCCAAGGGGTCTCCGGAGAGCACATGAGTGCGGCTTTGAGTGCACGATGAAAGCGCTCCAGAAGGCCGTTGGACTGAGGATGGTAGGGAGCTGTCCTAGTCCTGCTGGTGCCCAGGTAGTCCGTGAGAGCTGCAAAGAGACCTTACTCAAACTGAGCCCCTTGGTCCGTTGTGATGGTCAGTGGGGCGCCGTAGTGTGCTACCCAGCACTCGATGAAAGCTTTTGCCACAGTAGAAGCTTGTTGATCAGGAATTGGAATGGCTACAGGCCATCGGGTGAACCTGTCGATGAGAGTGAGACAGTATTGGAAGCCCAGGCTCTTCGAAAGCTTCACCAGGTCGAGGTGGACGTGGTCGAAGCGCTGCGTCGGGTAGTCGAATGCGCTTAACCCTCCTGACAAATCTCACCTGAGATCTCATCTGATATCTCATGTGATTTCTCACCTGAGATCTCATGCCAAATTCTCATCTAAGATCTCAGGTGAGATTTTGGAAAGAAAAATAAATAAAAAAATTTTGTGCAACAATTATAATTTATACATCAAAAGAATGATTACCTAAAATATCAACAGTTATAGGAAAAAAAAAAAAAAAAATTCGGCTTTTAAGGGATACGAACTCGAGCACCCAGATTAACTGGCAAGCATCTTACCGCTTGGCCAGAGAGGATGAGATACTAGTCCAACAATTTACGTGTATATAAAGTGTAAGTACCATGTGTTATTGTTTTTCTTATTCACAATGAATCATAAAATTATTAATAGATATAATTTTTCCCAATCTTAATTCCGATAGTTAACCAACTAGATAATATTCAGGAACATTATTTTCTTCACAAAAAATATTTTCTCTCTTAAAGTTACTCTTAAGGAAGCTTTATATTCAAGTAGGGCATAAGTTTTTAATAATAATTATAAATGTTTATTTAAATGTAATAATAAAGAATAACTACAATAAAAACCAGAGGGACTTGATGTGTTGTGAATAAATTATTTTAGAAAAATCCAAATTGCTTGCGGTTATATTATTTTATTTTGAAAAAACACTTATAAAAGTTGGAAATCCTTAAAGCTATTAATGTTATTTCAACTTTTCAAAGCTTATTATACTCCGTGAATAATTACAGATAAAGTCATCACTGGAAATTTGTTGATACAATTTATGTTTAGTGAGTTAAATGTAATTGTTTTCCAAAAACGCAAAAAAGGAGTGAAAACCTACAGTTTGGTATAAACAATGGTACCTAACTCATTACACATGTATTGTATCATAAAATTTACAGTAATTACTCTATATGAAATTCTTCAAGGAGTATAATAAGTTCGAAAAGTTGGAATAACATGAATAGCTTTAAGGATTTCCAACTTTTATAAGTGTTTTTTCAAAATAAGATAATATACACGCAAGTAATTTGGATTTTTTTAAAATAATTTATTCACAACACATCAAGTCCCCCTGTTTTATATTGTAGTTTTTCTTCATAATTACATTTAAATAAACATTTACAATAATTATTAAAAACGTATGCCTTACTTGGATATAAAGCCCCCTCAAGAGTAACTTTAAAAGAGAAAAATATTGTTTGTAAAGAAAATAATGTTCCTGAATATTATCTAGTTAGTTAACTGTTAGAATTAAGATTGGAAAAAATTATATCTATTAATAATTGTATGATTCAGTTGTAAATCAGCAAAACAATAACACATGGTACTTACACTTTACATACGCGTAAATTGTCATATTGGTACCTCATCCTCTCTGGCCAAGCGGTAATATGCTTGCCTTTAAAACTGGGGGCTCGAGTTCGTGTCCCATATAAGCCGAATTTTTTTTTTTTCCTATATCTGTTGATATTTTAGGTAATCATTCTATTGATGTATAAATTATAATTGTTGCACAAAATTTTTTTATTTATTTTTCTTTCCAAAATCTCACCTGAGATCTCAGATGAGAATTTGGCATGAGATCTCAGGTGAGAAATCACGTGAGATATAAGATGAGATCTCAGGTGAGATTTGTCAGGAGGGAAGTAACCACTGCCTCCTGTAGGGGGACCTTAATATGGCAAATCCCAGAAGAGTGCGTTATAGATATATAGGTATATATATATACACATTGCGTCTGCTCCGATGATTCTTCACAACATAGTAGGTGCAGGTATACGTAATAGCTGGGCTTCACCCGAACTCTACTTCTGGGTGAGACTCAAGTTATATGTGTCATTTGGCCCAGTGTTATTCTA